CTTACATTGCATTCTGGGAGGGAGAAGTGGGGAAGGTTGAAGATGAAACAAAGAAGTTAAAGGTCATTTGTTTTATCCCTTGTTTAGTTAACAGAAGACGGAAAATAAGTGACAGTTTACCTGAAGAGGAGAATTATATGAAAAGAATGAAGCAAATTGATACTTCAGGTATGTATAGTGGTTTGTTCTGTTTCCATGATGGTGGTCACGCCAGCAGCCATAGGGATCACTTGACTCGTCTTTTTTTTTGGGGGGGGGTGAGTCAGGGTTAAGTGACTTGCTCAGGGTCAAGGTTGGATTTGAACTCAGATCCTCCTGACTCCAGGGCCCGTGCTCTATCCACTGCGCCACCTAGCTGCCCTTTGACGTGTCTTCTTGCCTGAAATTTCTCTCTTCCTCTCCACTGTCCTTCCCACTTCTGCCTCAGTAACCTTCCTAGAACATCGATCTGACTGTATTCTCTCCCTGCACAAAACCCTCCAGTGCTCCCCACAACCACCCTACCCACCAGCCCTGAATAAAATCTGAACTCCTCAGCTTGGGATTCTAGGCCCTCCCCAAGATGGCCCAAGTTTGCTCACCATGGCACTCTCCAGGACCTGCCTTCTTGCCCAGCAGAGCCCCTCGCTAGTCCCCTGACCAAACTCTGCCCTTCTCCTGCTTCTCTGACTCTGTCTGTTGAAAGCCTGCCCACCTCAAATGCCACTGTTTCAGGAAGCCTTCTCTCACCCTCCAGTCCACCCCCCCAGAAGTTCTTGTTTTCTTTCTCTCTCACCCTCGCTCTCCTACTTCCCCCTCCCAACTCCCTACTTTGGGCACCCCAAGCTCTTTCTTAATATCTCTCTTATGGCACATGTTCAGTCATTTTGGTCATGTCCAACTCTGCGTGACCCCATTTGGGTTTTCTTGGCAAAGACACTGGGTTGGTTTGCTGCTACCTTCTCCAGCTCATTTTACAGATGAGGACCTGAGGCTCTCAGGGTTAAGTGAGTTATCTGGGGTCACACAGCTAGGTGTCTTAGGCTGGATTTGAACTTAGGAAGGTGAGTCTTCCTGACTCCAGGCTTGGTACTCTGCGCACTATGGCGCCACCTAGCTGCCCACTTAACCAGATTTTATTTTGTGTCGTGGTGCCTTGTATACATCTTTTCTTGGTTAGAATCTGAGTCTCTTGAGTAAAAGGGACTTGTTTTTATCATTTTAACAAATAATTCAAGAAGCATGAAGAGGTCTAGGCAGTAGTGTTTTGGGAAATGTTTAACCATTGGCTCTCCCCCATCCCCTGAAATGTGCACTTGACAGACTTTTAAGTTTATCTGTGATTTACATTTTTTCTATCACTTCTTTAAATCTAGACAATCAACAAAACAGATCAGGCCCTGATTTATAGCAGTTGCCAACTTCTGAGGTATAAATGCTTGCAGTGGAAATTTAACATTCAGCTCCGCAGTCTGAACTCGCTCCACCACATCCTTGGGTATAGCAGATAGATTGTCAGACCTGAAGTCAGTAAAACATAAGTTCATTTTTGGCTTCACACACTCTGTGGCAATGTCTCACTGGCTGGGCAAGTCACTCAACCTCTCTCAGCCTCAGTTTCCTTATCTGTAAAATGGAAATTATAGTAGCACCTAACTCACAGGGTTGTTGTGAGAAACAAAAGAGATTCATATGGAAAGTGCTTTGTAATCCTTAACTTATCACATAAATGCCAGCTATCATCATCATCATCACCACCATCATCATCGTCATCATTATTCCAGAGTACCTTGCAGAACCTATTTAGGCACCGGAAATAGAAGCTAAAAATGAACTTGTACCTGCCCTCAAGGAACTTATATGAACTTTGCATCCTTCTGTTCCCCACAGTACCTAGCTATGTCTTGCACATAGTGGATGTGTCTTGTACATAGTAGGCATTTACTAAGTTTTTTTTTTGAGGGGAGGTGATTTTATTTACTAATCAAAATGTGAGTAACATTTTAAAAACAACTCATCAGCCAGGTGACTTGTCTTTCTGGGACAGTACAACAGAGTTTGAGAAACTATTGTCTAACTTGTTGAAAAATGTGTCCCTGGACTCCAAAGGCTGTGGGCTTTTCTCTAACTCCCTGAGCGTTTGTTAACAGTAATTAATGCTCTCAATGCCTAAAGTTTCTCAAAAGTTAAAAAAAATGGGATAATGCTGGTATTTAAAAAAATCCATTGTTAACCAGGCAGCTAAAGCAGTTCTCTCTAATTTCTATCTAAATTTTTTTGTTAAAACTTCACCCAGGGAAAGTCATTCCCCACCCCCCCTTTTGGGGGTTTTAGAAGTTAGAAATTACCCAAGTTAGTATAAATAGGACTAAAATAAGATTAAAAGATTGTTCATGTAAATAGGAATAACATTACATTATGAGAATTTTAGCTCAGATTTATATTTGCTCTCCCAGTGTTCTGGAGCTCAAAGGGGCCTTGGAGCTTGTCCAGCCAGACCCTGCATGCTCAGGGGAGGAAGCAGCCTTGGGGGCCGGGGATGGTGGAGATGAGGACGTGCCGTATGTCTCGTTCATGCCAACCCTGTGAGATAGGGAGGGTGTGAATGTTATTATCGCCATTTTGATGGGTCTGAAAACTGACATAGAGAGGTGATGAGACTTTCAACCACATAGATAAACAGTGGAAAAGCTATGTCTTGAGCCCAGGGCTTTGAGGCAGTGTAGTTCAGTGGGAAGAACCTTGGATTTGGAGTCGGAGCACCTGGGTTCAAACTCCAGCTTTGCTGCCAGTGTGACCCTGGGCAAGTCACTGACCCTCTCTGAGCTTCATTGTCTTCATCTGTGAAGTGAGGGGTTTGGGTTAGGTGGGTTCCAAGCTCTACATTGGGCATCTGGGTTCTGACCCCATGCCAGGGGGGCTTCAAGGCACAGTGAATACAGATTGCCTTCCAATCAGAAAGACTTGGATTAAAATGCCATCCTTGCCGCATACTGGCGATGTGCCCCTGGGCATATCACTTAGCGGCTGCGCTCCCCTGGTAACTCTTTTTAAGAAGCTGTACACACACACACACACACACACACACACACACACATACACGCTGAAGACTGTGGTAAGACTTTTGAGGCTGTATATTTATGTACATATGTGGGCATTCATGTGTGTGCATATCTGGGTGTATGTGTATTTATGTTCAGGTGTGTCCCTATATATGCAAACCTGTGATTTCATTGGTTGAGGCAGATCTCACATGATGAATCTTTTTCTACTAATGGGGGTGGTGGCAGGAGAGACAGACAGAGAGAGAACGAGCAGGTAAAAGGACTTTTAATGTGGAAATGTGTTTTGCCAATGGCCCAGTGGAGGCAAGAACTCAGGTATCTTGATCCCCAGTAGTGCTAATGCCTCCATAGAAGACTGGCATACCCAGAAAGAGGCAGCAGCAGGCAGTTGGACATGTTTGGGGAGAAAGGGACATAGTGAAGAGTTTTCTTTGTGAGTTCTTCTGAGTTCACTCTTATTTTTCCCTAATCAACTGACTGGCCCAGGGTCACACAGCCTGTCTGTGTGTGTGTGTGAGGTGGGATGTGATTCTAGGTCTTCTGGCTCTGAAGTCCATAAGTAGACTTATATGTATACATATATTCCACCCCAAGTGTTCACATGAACTATTTGTGCCCAACCTGCGGTAGAGCATTCTGAGCTCATATTGGTCTGATTGGCCGCAGTCAGACACGCTGTAACTCAAACATAATGATGTCATTTTGGTCCTCTTCGAGAACAAAGGACAACCAACCATAGGAATATGTGTACATGAAAGTTATTTTTCGCTAATAGTATTTGGAATCAATTTTATAAATATAGTTTTGTTTGCTATCACCTATATTTTCCACTGTCTTCTTCCCCCAACCCCTTATCATAAAATAAAAGAAAGGAAAAAAGAAGAAAAAAAACTCAATAACATTTCTTCTCTCCCCTTGGCCCCCCCCCCCCCCTGCCCCCTCCCAGTCTGGTGTTCTCTGCAGTTGCCTCTACTTTTGCAAAGGCTTGGGTGGAAGGTGGATTTTCTATCTCTTCTTTGAGGCCAGTCTTGGTCATTATGGACTAATGTTGTTTTGATCATTCTTGAAAAACGTCCCAGGTCGAAGAATGAGTTTGCTTGAAGAGAATTAAGGAGCCACTAGAGGGCACTGTGTCATCTTTTAAAGTTCATCTTTGACCAGAAGAAGCCTGGCGGCGGGGCAGATACCCATCTTCCGTCCCGACTTCAGTTCCCATTCACCCATAGTTCACCCATAGTTCACCCATAGCTTTCTGCAAGAGATTAGCGTTAGGGAGCATCTGATCATGCTTCCTTTTCATGCTGCAGCCCCCAGGAAGGTGGATTGCCTTGAGACTACCCTGGTTAGAACTTGGGTTTTAAGGAAAGTGACGATCTAAATATCCTTTGGCTACCAAGTCAAGAAGCATTTATTCAGCACGTCCTGTGTGCCAGGCACTGTGGTAAATGCTGGGAATATTAATAAAAGCAAGGAAGACTACTCGACCTGACTATCTGAAGGAAAGGTTGCTGTGATGATGTCTCCCTCCTTCACTATGGCATTCTTATAATTATGGGGTTCTACAGCTGGGAGGGACTTTCTGGATTCTCTAGTGCAGGGATTCTTATTCTTTTTTTGGGGGGGGTGACACAGTCAGGGTTAAGTGACTTGTCCAGGGTCACACAGCTAGTAAGTATCAAGTATCTGGAGCTGGATTTGAACTGAGGTCTTCCTGACTCCAGGGCCAGTGCCTAGGGATTCTTATTCTTTTTGATGTCATGGGTTGCTTTGACAGCAGAGAGTGCTGAAGCCTAGGGGCCCCTTCTCAGAGTAATATTTTTAAATGTATAAAATAAAATATGGAGAGTTATAAAATTACACTAAATATAGTTATTAAAATATTTTTTAAAAATAAGTTTTAGGACTCCAGCTTAAGAACTTGGAATCTAATGTGCCCCTCTTGTTAGACAGAGCAGGTGTTTTCTGGACTTGAAGCAGTGAGTTTGTTATGTCCCTTACACGCACATCTTCCATTGTCCGTAAGTGTCCAAGAAAATTCCTCCATTGCTCCTGTAGCGTTTTTGTTGTTGTTCAGTCATTTCAGTCATATCCAGTTCTTTGTGACCCCATTTGGGCATTTCCTGC